ACCAAGATACATCATGTAAAGGTACAAGATCCCAATGATGAATGTAACTGTATTGTATACCTAAAATGTACCAATAAACTTAATGAGAAAAAAAAGTTGCACAAGTTGTCTGTGTCCAAAACTACTTCATTCAAGGACTGTTAGGATGTATATAAGTGTAATCTTTAATAGCTGTGATAATAGTAAAGAAAGACATTTTAAATTCTTAAAAAGCTTAAGAAAAAGAATGTGAAAGTTTTATTAAGGTCAATTTTACTGTAACATTGGAATTTTTTATAAAAGACTTTTATAAAAGAGTCCATCAAGATATTAATATAGAAAATACACACTAAGGTAATATATATACACTTCATAAAAATAGAATACATCTTGGCAATTGCTTACAGAGTTTGTTACTGCCACATACAGTGTGTTGACGTTTAAGAGTTAATTTGAACATCTGAGATTTAAAAAAAATCACAAAGAAACCTATCCTATTGGTGTTTTAAAGAACTGTGTGCCTTGACAGAGAAAAATCTTTAAAAATTACGGAATATAAGAGTTATGGAGCTAACTGAATGGGAAGTTATATCCAAATGTTACAGCAAAGATCCATGCCATGGAAGGCATCTTAGGAGAAAATAATTTCTATTCTTGTAAGTGGTTCCGATGATTTCACAAAATCACTGACAATAATACCCTTGTTTTGGATATTCAATCAAGGTGAGCACCATTTGAGAACAAACCAACCTAGTAGTTATATCATATTTCTAAGGTGAGTGGTACTTCTTTTTTCTTCAAATGAAAATAGGCGTGTAAGTCCTAATATAAAGTATCAACACTTGTGCTAGCTTTGGCAACACATATAATAAAGTATCAATGCTTAAAATTTTTCCTAAATTATTTTACAAGCTTTTATTGATACATGTAGCAACTAATTTTCTTATTCTAAAAATAACCAAATGCTCAAAAACCTACTGGACTTTGAATTAGTTGTTTTCTTGTTTTACTTTAAGGAAAATGATCTTAGCTAATGCATACTATAAAACATCACTGATATGTCCTGTTAGATATTCAGAATAATCTTTGGGAAGTAACTGCTCCAGTGTAATAAATAAAATAAGGGACTCCTCTAGACCTTACTAAAAATATGACCATGGTGGGATCCTAAAAATACCTCAACAGTACCAAGGAAGGCGTATAAAATAGAGTATAGCACCATTTTCAAGTTGCCAACATTGCAACTGTTCAAGAGATAGTAACCAGGAGGGGACTTGATTGCATAATTAAGGCTGTTTAAACATGCAGAAGAGACTTTGGAGAACATCTTAGTATGGATAGGCGGACACAGCTATATAAACTATGAATGTGGTCTGGTACTCAATGGTCCCATTGGCACTGTAGGACAAGGCTTGAACCCTCATTCGGTAGGTGTCTGGCTCTCGTAGTGGTCGTGTAGTGTACACTATTCCTTTCAGGTTTTCATCCCTTAAGGCAAAAGGAACAGTCTGTTCCTCATCAACCATGAGGAAAGTTGTCCTGGGATGCATCACTCCATCATGCGTGTATGCAACCAGCCGGATTAAATCTTGATTGGCGGCTATTCCAAACGGGAGGGAGACAAGTTTATATTCCAAGGCATATGGGCTCAACGCACATTCCAAATCATTGGGTGGACAGTTCTTGAGGCAGAACCTAAGGACAATAAACATATGAAATATACATAATTATGTGGCTTGGAGGCAGGAGAATGCATGATGCAGGTGATCATGATCCATGAGCATTTCTAGGTATATTTAAATGCAGGAGACAGTCTGACTGCAAGAGCAACGAGACTCACCCCATGTTCTATGTCACTAACTCAAACCAGATGGCAGATGGCTAAGAGAATATGTGTGCCTTGAGTCAAACATCTAAGTCTTTGGTCCATTAAGTTCAGAAGTATTTTAGCTCTTGAAGTAAGCATGAATGCTATAAGAGTAGTTTCTTGCTTTTCTTGGGAAGGTGCTGGGAACTAAACCAGGGCATCGTGTCTGGTAAATGCATACTCTACCATTGAGTAACACCCACAGCTCAAGAAAATGAAGTCAGTTTTTGAAATAAAAATATCTGTATATATATAT